GCTCCCGGCATAATAGTGAGAATAGGGATCCATCCGGGCTCCTCAAGCGTAATACCTCGCACAAGAACAAGAAAAAAAACCCAAGGCACACGAGGCAAGAGAGAGAATAACGAAAAGCGAAACTAAAAACACATAATATTTACACAGGCACAAAAGCAAAAGCAAAAGAAATGTAAAATAAGCAAATAATCAAGAGAAACACGCAAAAAACGAGTAAAGAGCACAAAATGGAAGAGAAACACGGAAACAAACGACAACTAGATAGCAAACTTGGCGTCCTACTCGCCTTCCCCGGCAACGGCGCCATTTTGTTGAGTATAAATTTGGGCATGTAGTAACCGAGCTACCCGACTCGGGTCGTTCTCAAAGGAAGGCTCTTCGGAGCTTCGTTCACTACTTAGTCGTCTAAATCACACAACTAAAAAGGTCCGAAACATTCTACTCGCAAATTGGGGGTTTGAATTAAACACTACTCGCAATTAGAAATCGAAAGCAAGTGAAAACTTAAAAACAAAGATGAGAGCTTTAGGTCAACCGGGGTCTCTATCACTCGAATAAACACAAAAAGAATCGAGGGACATCAACATTGCCAAGTGATCCTAGGTCATTAAATCGAGCTTTCTACTAAATGACTACACTTTTAAACAAAGTCAAAATCTTTAAACAAGATAAGCACAAACTAATCCCTAACACACGTCGACGAGCTACAAGAATCGAACATTCATCCGATCAACAAGCAAAACCACAATCACCTTGAAACAAATCATAAGAAAAAAAGGGCAAATACGAAGTAATGAGGATTAAAGCTAATTACCCACTCTCCTAATGCATGCGTGAAGAACACCGGATGGAAAAGTTCGAAACTTGAAATAAAATGATGTCGCCGGAAACTTGCCGGAAAATATGAGTAATAGAGCTCCTAACCCAAGCATAAAAAAATAAAAAAATAAAAAAGAGAAATAGAGAGGTTTTTCCCAACTTAAAAGTTGGGAAATGAGAGTTGTGTTAATAAATACAAAGCAAGATGTCTTTATATAGCTACACCACAAAACACCCACTAAAACACACACATTTACTAAAACACTCTCGAGCTAGCCATGAAATCCGCGAGCTCGAGAGTGTGGTTTGGGCATTGGCAGCACGGGACGCGCGGGCGTGCGGGCGTGTGGGCACGCGGGCGCGCGGGCGCGCAACAAGGTACACTATCGACCTCGCGGAAGTTTCGGCGAGCTCGCGGCTTGGAATGGAGAGCACTCTCGACCTCACGGAAGTTGCGGCGAGGTCGCGGGCAAGGAGTGAATGGCACTCTCGACGTCGCGGATTTGTCCTCGAGCTCGCGGGCATGGGCGCGTGCGTAGGAATGGTCCCGGTGATCTCTTGATGCTCGATTCGCTCTAACTTTTCGCACACAACTCCGATTCGCACGAAATTTGGACTAAAATTCTCCTCATGAATTCTCTTCGTCCCGGTATGGCTTGGTCGGATTTTCCGGGTTGGACGGCTCGGACGGCTCGTCTCCTCGTCTCGACAAGTTGGACCTATTCAACACCAAAACAAAAGAGAAAACGCGCAAAAATACGAAAACACTATACAATAACAAAAATACACAAAACACGATAAAATGGACCGGTCGACACTAAAATGAGCCTAAAAACTATAAAATAAAGCACACAAAACACACGAAAATAACGACAAAAACACAATAAACACTCCGCTAGCAACCCTAGCGTCGCTTGCCCCTGCTTCCAGCCAGTCGAGACGCGTCATGCCTAGTGGCGCTAGCACCCCTAGCGCCGCTAGACCCTGCTTTTTTCTGTGATGCTTAGGCCGTGGAGGGCGTCGTCCCGATCATAGTATTGAGATGCAATAGAGTACTTTACATTTGTATCATGATTAGAGGTCGAGTGAGCAATCGGCCTATGGTTGTCCTCGTAGTATTATTATTCACGAGTGAGGAACCGAGCATGTGGTTGTCCGTTGTGCTTTTGTATGCTGATTATCGGTTGTTTGAACAACAATTTTGATCTATAAATTTAATTTTATCGATAAAAAAAAGTATATCAATGGACATGATGAAGTCAAAATTGAGTTACAAGGTCAATCCTGCATTGGCAAGATTGTAATTATAATACTATTTCATGGACAAATAAATAAAAGGAAGGACAATTACCAAACTGCCAAATAAGTGGGCCCCACCCATAAAATCTCCCACCCACCCACCACGATCCCTCTCGCCTCTCTCCTCTCTTCTCTTTCCCCTCTCCTCTCCTCTCTCATATCTCCTCTCTCCCTTATCTATCTCTCTCTCCGTCGCGCGCGCGCACACACACACAACTCTATCAATTTCGGCCACCCGCCCATTGTTTACAGTCCGGCCGCAGAAGCACACCACCACCGCAAATAGCCCGCCAATCATGTCGCCGCCGCCGACAAACCCGATTGCCGCCACCGTCCTCCGATTCCGGCAACCCGTCTAGAGCTCACGGTAAGGATTCCCAACGTCATTCGCATCCTCCTCCGCTGTCGAGCACGACGTCGGGCCCGGCGTTCACGGCTGCATCTGTCAGAACGACGGCCGCAGTCGGACACGGAAACTATGCTGTCGACCGCGACGATTGGGACGACGGCGCTGGCCAGATAAGACGGCGTGCGATGGGGCAGCAGACGGGAACTGGCATTCACGGCAACAAATCCTTGCCGGTGACCAGGACATGTTTCCAGGTCGTGAGGTCACGACGGTAACGTCTCTGGCTGGAAAAGACGGCCGGTAAATGAGGCAGGCGACGGCGGTCGGGCGGCTGCAGTCGAGCGTGTGTGTGTATCGTATGTGTGTGTGCATGTGTGTGTGTGTGTGTGAGTGTCTGTGAGTGTGTGTGTGTGTGTGTGTGTGTGTGATGACACATTTTTTCTATTTTTTTCTTTTTATTATATTTTTTTTGGGTGTTGGGGGCTTTTGGGATGAAATTTAGATATTTTGTAGGTTTTTTTGTACAATTTCAAAACTTTTATTAGTTGATATTTTAATAGTGGAATGATATTATAATTTATCAAAAGTTTAATATATTACACATTAAAAATACATAGTATGCACCATTTTGTCAATTTACACACACATTATAAAAATTGTTACATGTTTTCAAAATTAAACAGTTATTAATTGGTCGGATCATCGGTAGGTTTGATTTAATCGACTAGATAATATCGAAACTGGAATAATATAAATAAATTTTATTTGTATTATAGAAACATATTAAGTGTTGTAATGTTGTTGGTTTTATATTCACACATTTACCCCAATTGTTTAACTGTAAATAACTAAAAAATTTAAAATTGCAAACCAGCCCTTGTAAATTCACAATTACTAGTCAGCCGTAAAACCAGCTCCTCTATCCTTATTTGTATCAAATTCACAAATTGCACATTAGTTAAAATTTGATTGCACTTTAGTGAATTAAATTACACAATATCGAAAGATACATCCTTCTTCTACTCCAATCCATATCTCCTTCTCTTTGAAAATCTCCTCCTTTTACTAGTGGCCTGGGGAGAATTTGGATCAATGAATAACGCAAGGAAACATCTATCCCAATTTAGCTCTTCCATCAGTCAATGCATGTCAGAGTTAACACCAAATTGACATACAGGTTGAACCAGCCGAGTTAATGGCATCCAACTACTTTCATCGAGCAATAAGAATCGGTGAACAAAGTTATGATCGTACATATTGTGCAATGCTACCGTTTATATGTTTCTAAGCACAGAAAATTACTAAAGATCAGATACTGTTTTTGTAAACATAAACAAATGCAGCCTCATTCCCCCATTTCTTTTTGCGATCCACCTTAAAAATAGATGTTGACTGTTTTTTTTTAAAAAATTTTATTTTTCTCTCTACAAACCGACCTCAATTGACAATAGAGCATTCCAAGATTTACTTGTTGCTTGTTAGGTGCCAATATATCAACCTTTCTACACCGATCTGTGGACCGTCTTCTTGAATAGGAACCATCATTCGTAATTCGTAAATACCCACAATTTTTGCAACATTTATCACTCCCAAGAGCATACTGTTCTTTTTTTGCATGATCATGCACTTGCAAGAGATGAAAACTTGTTTATTCTTCGGCCTCTCAAGCCATTCCAAAACGAGGTAGCATTTACGACTTTTTTACCAGGAAGTTGCAGCTCCAGTACCTATAGATGAGCATAAGCTGATCAGAAGAAACAAAAAAGTGTTGTATATTGGTAAATAAAAGTAACTACTTTCACAGAAAACTAAGTTACACCATTGCAAACATATTTTCTCATAGATAATAATCATAATAGTTGTGGGTCAACTGCAAGTAGGAGTAGGAGAAAAGGTTTGAGTTAGTTCTGATTAACAAAAATAGATGGTGTAACTAAGGACAGGTCGAAAACTCAAGACAAATAATGAGGATGTTTCTTGTAATTAACAAAATTATTTGGGTTTCTTGTAATTTGTACAAACCTCAAGGATATTGTATGTAATCGTCCCAAATTTTAAATGCAAACGAACAGATAAAATGATTATTTATCCTGACAATAAAATAAAAAATGAAAAAAAATAAAAATAAAAAGAACAACATAGACAGACAAAACTCACCTCCAGTGCTGTACCCCCACCACATGGGAATACCAATGAGCCCCTCTCAAAGAACACATCATTCATTTCACCAGTTTGAATTTCACTCTTCCCATAAACTCTTGTAGTGATAATTTTAAGTTCCAAAATGTTGTGCTGACCACTTTTCGAATCAATCACTGAAACTTTTGCTCGGGTTCCTGGCCAACCTGAAAATGCACGTACCTGAAAAGGTTGCATGTATCACAGATATCCCGAGAAAAAAATTGTAATTATATCCATACCTTGTTGTGAAGGGTTCTAGCATTTTCATCGAATGAGAGCCATGACTCGTCTGCTGTTATCTGCATCAGTAAATTCCATGCACATGGGTTTTATCTTTAATACATTCAGAATATTCAACCCAAAACAAAAAGTAGCTCTAGGCAGTTAATTGAAGCTTCAAAGTCATATATTAAATAATGCAATATATAATAGATAGTATCCAGCTAACAGCATTTCATCTTTGAATGAATAATCTTGGCATGTGTATAACCATGAAATCTGATTCTGCTTTTAAATATACAAATTAGAGCTGCTTATGAAGAGTGCTCTTTGTCAATGAATAATGGACAAAAATTACAACCAATCACTTTTTTTAAAAACCTCAGAATTAAGAAAGATATTGTTGGAAAGGTACAAGCTGAGCTCTGTTTGGTTCTCTGAGGCTTTAGCCAGAACAAACTTATTGGATTAACTCACTTAAAAAAATAATAATAAATAAAAATAAAAAAAAAATAAATAAATAAATTAAAGTCCGAACATATTTGTATTGACCTAGGGTGTTACAAAATGTTTCGTATTAAACCTGCTTTTTGTAATCAAGAAAAAATATGGCTGGCTTACTTTTGGGGCCAATGAAGCTCGAGATTCGTCTTGTGGAACCGCTTTAGTTTGGGCAGAACCATCTAATATAGACGGAAGCTCATGGACCAGAAGTCTGGACCCTACATTGATTTGTACAAGTTCAATTTCAACATACGTTTGCACATTTTTAGCAAAGCAAAAATTTAGTTGATTTATTAAGAGAAATGAAGGATTATAATGATCAAAGAATAGACACGGGCACATGACACAATACAGAAAACTATGGATTGTCATAAACAGCAATGTTCAAGAGCTGAATAAAGATAGGAATATGTAATTTCCAATTATCCAGGTAACAACAACAGAAAATAGAACAAAACGTACTTATTTAAGGCAAGAATCATGAAATTTCTTCCATATGACCAAATTTGAGAAACAAGTGGATCTCCGAAAGTTTTCAGCGCAGATAGCATGAATACAGTTTTGAGAATTATAATTATTTTCCTGTTTCCAGTTAGCATTATAAATACATGTTCAGAAAACGTCAAGACTAATTCCGGTTAGATTACAGGAAAATATTAGGGAGTACATGATTCTGCTCTAATAGTGTTTTCTAGTCAAAGCCAATACAATTAACCAGACAGCAACCAAAATTTAAACTGTTTAGCAAACACTAGAAGAATCCAAATCTCAGCATCTACCGGGGGACAATGAGTGTAACCACCTCTCTTTTAGTGCTTACACATATTCCAATATAAAGCAAAACACGACAATTTTATCACCTGAGTTACTGGAAAGAGAAAAAAAGCTACCTTCCTGAAATAGCAACTCAAGTAACTCTGGTGCCTGCACAACAACAAATCAAGAAAACCAAAAATAGATTAGGTTATCCAATATAGTTTCCTTCTAGTGCATATATTCTCCCAGACCACCTCATCTGAAATATATTTTTATTTTTTTTTTACATATAAAAGAAAGGAAGAAAAAGATGACCAAATACTCCACAAGTAAGTTCCATCACTATTATCCATATCGAGAGGCCAGTAATATGAAAAGTAGTAAAAACGGTCCAAATTCACCTACGGTTACCATAATAGTGAATCAAACCCTGGTCATCCTCACTAATTCCCAACTACCAATACAGTTAAATGTTCCATGCTTTAAGCTAATGTAGCACTGAATACAAACTATTGGTACCTTTATCTGGTCATCAGTTTCCACCTTTTCACAAGCAATAACTGGACCTGCATCCAGTTTGCTGACCGTATATGCTACTGAAACTCCCGTTTCTCTCACACCATCCTGTACCAGAAGTCCAATAGGTATAAAACAAATAGAGCAAGCCAATAAATTATAACTGTAAGTTATAATGGAATATAACCTGCAGCGCTCTCTGAACAGGTGCAGCCCCACGATATAGAGGAAGCAAACTGGGATGTATGTTGACTGTCCCTACAAAACGGCACCTAAAATCTGTGAGACAACTAAATATCATATTTTAAGCAGGAACATAAACATGAAATTAAGATTAATTAACCCATGCCCATATCAGGGGTATGTCTTAAAGAGTAGAAACTGCGTAAAGCTATTTCTTGGTGTAAGGATGAAGTTTCAGTAATTCCAGAGGCCAATATAGATGGATTATCTCACTAGAGAGCCATTCCTAAGATCAAATAGTGTTGAGTGGCTCTCCATTGCTGTGCCTTCGCTTGCATGAAGAGATGAACCAATATGATAAAAATATCAGACCAGATATGCACTCTTTGAAATTTGTTGATCTTAATATGCCATGTAAATTAGCCATATCAAGTGCCAGATTTATTTGAACTTTATCATCACACTTCCTAATCAGATAATTTATACACCTTTTAGGAATAATACTATATTATTTCACAAAAGAGTGGACATCCAATGTCCTGCATAGATAGTTACAACTCAAAAGGGTCATGTTTTGACGAGTCTTTCGTAATATATATCAGTGGAGGTTACCTTTAAGCGTATCAAAAGTGACTGTAAGGATCCAGAGTGGTATTAACAAAGACAAATAATATATGTCTATATATTGTTAAATATCAGAGCCAAGGAAAAAAAGAGCTTGCAATTAGATCAGTGTTCAGCTCTAGGGTGGCATATTAAAACACGACTACTAAAACAGTACGGTCATCTGACCAACATATTTAATTTCTTATTTCTTAAGCCACAAAAGCCATCTTTTCGCAGACATGAGACAGAAAATAACATCAAAAGAAAACCATCTGAATAATGTAGAACAGGGTACATTCAGATAAGAAATTGTCAACATCAACATCAACATCAACATACCCAGTATATTCCCAACAAGTTGGGGTCTGGAGGGTCAATTGTACGCAGACCTTACCCTTGTAATTATACAAGGAGGCTGTTTCCATAGCGACCCAAGGTGCGTTGCGTCGTTTGATATTTTTTTTTCTAGAAACTTCACTAATAGAAGAAACACTAGAATTTAATTGAGCCATTTTGATCTGGTCCATTATTAACACTATGCTAGGAGAATTGTCAACAATGACTCTTCCAGCTCCATATGCAATGGACATAGATAAGAAATTGTCATCATGCACATTTCCCAACTTGTCACCATGAGGAAATTGAAAGAGCAATTGAGACTTAATGCAAGACTTTCAGAAGACATGCACGTTAATTCATCTCTAAAATAATAACTAAACTTGAGTTACAGTAATAAAAAAATGACATCCAAAATAAATTGAAATGATCAAGATAACCGTTGAATACATGATACATTGATGGAGATAAGGATGTTTATTATTTGTTCCCTCTTTATTATTGTTGTTATTATTATTATTATTATTATTATTATTATTATTATTATTAGTGGTATTATAGATTTGGTAGGAAACTTATTTATTATTTTGTTAGGATTCTTGTCTCGTTGGACAAGTTAATATTGTTAGGATTCTTGTCTTGTTGGACAAGTTAGTATTAGGGTTTTAGGAGCCTTATTTAAAGGACTCATCCTCTATTGTTTTATTCAGTTTGAATATGAAATAAGAATTGATATTTGAGTTTTTTTACGTGTTTTACGAGAGAGTATCTTGTTTACTCGTTTATCTATCCCACTCGTACGCTTTCCCTACATCAGTTGGTATCAGCAGTCAGCAGTCAGTACGATTCGCGATGTCGCCGGGACGAGAAGATGCCGTAAACGAACAACGTGATGCAACCTTCAACGATCGGTTTCAACAGATTGATTACCGATTTCAAGAGTTGGACGTGCGTTTCACGGATTAGTTTGCAGATCTTTCCACGGGGATCGAGGATGTGTGTTTGACGCCGAACAACGTGATTGTTTCAGATTTGCAGATGAACCGTGCCGCAGGCGACCGGGGTGTGCGCGGGGGAGTTCACGGAGGAATTGGAAGTCGTGGTCCAGGCGGGGCGCCCCGTCGACGATCTCCACAACCACCGTCCGGCGATGCAGACGGCGAGGAGACCATCTTGGAGGCAGATCCCTTCGGATGCCCGTCGAGACTAAGCTCGTTGCTGCACACAACGGCCAACAAGGTAATGATTTTTTAGGAGAATGACGAACTATTGTACGACGGCCCGCCTATTTTTGATGAGAAGCCACTTGTGGCGTCGATGGAGGACGAGTACCATGTGGTTGTAGAACCATCTATGAGGCCAGAGGTTGTGCTTGGAATGGATGTTTTCAGTGAATTGGAAGATGAATTTTCATTGTCTTTTATTCAACAAGCATATGTGTCTGATAACTCGCATAGTGTGCCCAAAAAGGACAAAGTGGAGAGTTGTTGCCATAGATTTTCTGCTTGTGAGTATACCAAGTTCATGGCCCGTCAAATTGGCCCGGTCAGGATTATGGAGCAGTTGAAGACGAGATTGCTTCGGATTCGAGGGCGAATCCTTTTCGACAGGGGGAGAATGATGGAGATAAGGATGTTTATTATTTGTTTCCCTCTTTATTATTATTATTATTATTATTATTATTATTATTATTATTATTATTATTATTATTATTATTATTATTATGGACCCATCCTCTATTGTTTTATTCAGTTGAATATGAAATAAGAATTGATATTTGAGTTTTTACGTATTTTACGAGAGAGTATCTCGTTTACTCGTTTATCTATCTCACTCGCACGTTTTCCCTACATCATACATCTATGAACAGTTATTTAGTTAAATTGTTTTTGTAATGCTGTTAAGCTCTTAATTTGATATATAACTCAATGAGGATTACATGGTATATATATAAGCCAAAGCCAAAAGAGATGTAAGAATGGAAAGTAAGCAACAACAACAACAACAACAACATACCCAGTATATTCCCAATTGGTTGGGGTCTGGGGGTCAGTTGTACGCAGACCTTACCCTTGTAATTATACAAGGAGGCTGTTTCCGTAGCGACCCAAGGTGCATTGCGTTGTTTGATTTTTTTTTTTCTAGAAACTTCACTAATAGAAGAAGCACTAGAATTTAATTGAGTCATTTTGATCTAGTCCATTATTAGCACTATGCCAGGAGAATGGAAAGTAAGCAAAGAACCTAATCTACGAGATTTACCATATCAAAGAAAAGTAATCAAAGAACCTAATCTACGGGATTTACCATATCACCTAATTGATACAATCTAATCTATACCATATTTACGATAACAGTTTTTAAATTCCACAATCCTTATGTTCACAGAATACTAGAATTAGCAATAACGCAGTCTAAAAGGCATGAGCAATGATTTTTAAACTAACCCATAGATGGAATTTTAAGGAACTTTGACGGCAATATATTCCCATATGCAGCCGTGATGCAAAGTTCAGGTTCCAGAGCTTTCAATGCGGAAAGAAATGATTCCTGCAAGGTGGATCCATAATGTAGAATCTTTACACTAGAAATGTACAAGAATATGAGGTTCCAAATTATACTCAACTGCCAAAAGAACTAAGCACTTGGCACAAGTGGTCTGTGAGATCATCCATATATATATATATATATATATATATATAATGCAGCAGAAAACCTCTAAACTAACTTCTGGATATACGTACATATTTTAGAAGATACTCTAGTAGATATAGAACTAAAATTAGAGTAGTCACGATAACTGGTGATATTTTGAGTTGCACCATAAAACTAAAGGCATTCATATTATTTAAGAAAAAGAAATTAGTTTTCTGCGGTAAACTTGTAAAATCCAATAAATACAAATTATAAAGGTATGAAACAACTCTGAAAAAATTTTACATGTGATGATACATGGTTTGGAATGTTAGCTGCATTAAAAATGGAATATGAGAGGTGTTCATTGCAATAGAGCAAGGTATCATGCATCAGAAAAGATACAAGACTATTACCTCACCAGCTTTGATTGGTGTGAAGATCAAATCAGACGGGTGCCCGTTGTCCACGGCATATTGTGCAACTGGAGAAGGCATCAACTTTCTACCCCTTTCTCTTCCAGAAGGCGGTTGGGTCACAATGGCTGCTACCTGAACCACAAACAGATACTTAATAGCAGGACCAAAAGGGAATGACTCTGACCTGCTTTGCAGTTACATTCGAGCACACAAATGATTAAACATGAGGAAATCAAAGACAAGGTTAATCAAAATTCTGCATACATATTTCCTGCACTCCAAAAAAAAAAAAAAAAAAAAAAAAAAAAAAAAAAAAAAAAAAAAAAAAAAATTGCTTTTTAAAATAGCTTCAAAAGTGCATCACAATGGGAGGGAAAAGTCCACAACATCCTGTGGTTGATGAATGAGTTGATTAAAAGCGAATTTCCAAACTTGCAATGTGCACAGAGTATTACATAATATCGACAGAACCCTCACTGCAATGCTCATAATAGATATGAAATTAGAAAATCAGCATAGCCTGTCTCTACCCTCAATTAAAAATCCTTTCTTCTGATTGAACCAAACATTGCCTAGTTATTCTGTTGTATATGCAACAATTAAATCGAATGGTGCCCAATAAGATAAAAAAGGAAACTTCATCAAGTACCTCAAACAAAGAATCTGGGGCAGATGAAGCACTGAAAAGGGCATCAAGAACACAAGTGGAAACCTGGGATGAAGATAATTAACAACAAAAAATAGCAAAAAAAGTGCAAAAACTTTTGTATCGTGCAGTGATAAATCTCATGGGCCGAGAGAGAGAGAGTGTGTTGCACCTGAGGAGAGCCTAAGAAAATGAGACGCTTCTTTTGCGCAGTGAGGGCCTGAGAAAGAGGAGCAACCGACGAAGGCGAAGAAGCTGCGGCGCTCAGGCAGCAGAAGCGCCGGAAAATCTGTGGAGACGACAGCATCACTCCAAATCAAATCAACAACTAAAGCCTCCGTTTGTGTTCATTTTTTGGACAAGTTTTGTTTTGAAATTGTAATGCAATGATAATGCCAATACTTGAGATACCTATTTCCTCCCCCAAAATATACAGGGCGAATTTGGATATATTTTACAAGTTATATTATTTTTTTATATATATATATTCAAGTTATATTATGTTAGGGTCGGGCTACCGAGATTTGTCTAGCTTCTCTTTTGGAACTCGAACGGGCTTGGGCTCGGGCAAAATACCTTTCCCTTTAAGTTCTTCATAAATTGTGGCGGCCCCAGCCGAGTACACAGTTTGATATCCTGACTTCAGATCACTGGCATATTGTCGTCTCGCGGCTCGAATTTCAGGATGAATGCCTAAGTCTTTTGGCTGCCTTGCTGAGATTCATTGGTCATCCCCAGCTTCGAAGATTCTCAAAAAATCCCGACATCAAGTGAACAGGACTAGTACGTTCGGCAGAACCCATTGACGATGATGAAGAAGATGACCGAGGTGCTATACCGAAGAGGATTCGACAGGGAGAAAAAGAAATATTTATGTATACTTCGAACTTGCCTAAATCCGGTCTCGATAATGCACCTCGGCAACGCAAAAATTATCGATCTCTGAGTCCCCCTTTTACCTGTATTCATCGAGTAAATACTAACAGTACCCGAACCATTTCTTCCCGACGCCAAATTAAAGCCTACGCTCGACAGGCTTATAATTCGAATAAACATGTTTTCACTACTGATTTACGAGATGTTATCAATGCACGGAGTTGTCCTATCACTTTCAGTACTGAGGATGCGAACCTGTTTGCACATCCTCATTCCGACGCGCTGGTCATCACTGTCCCGATCTGTGGAATCCCAGTACACCGAGTTATGGTTGATACCGGGGCCTATTCGAGCATTTTGATGTTACGAACATTCGACAAATTGGGCCTAGATCCTGCGGACATAAAGCCTTGTAATGACGAGATTCAAGGATTCAATGGGAGCATTTCTCGACCGATTGGAGAGATCACTTTGCCCATTCGATTTGGCATTCCAGGACAAGCTACTAAACTTATCATGTAAACTTTTAAAGTCATGGATATCCGCAACGAATATAATTCCATCATCCGAAGAACAACTCTGTACAAGCTTCGAGCAGCAGTATCCATATTTCATTATGCTTTAAAATTCCCAACAACTTTTGGGGAAGGAACTCACTATGGTGACCAAAGAGAAACGCGAGAACCTGTGATGATTACTCCTACCAGTGAAATTCAGTCCAGCCAGTCAACTAGCGAGAAAGATCCCTCGACCTCAGCTCAACATACCGACATGCAACCGACCTCGGGATCTCTTGAAGAAATGAATCAAAATGAAAACCGAGGAAGGAAACCGGGTAAAGAACCAATCCAGGAAGAAGATGAATTAGATCCTCGAACTCAATTCAAAGAAAAAAGCCGAAGCGACCGAGCTGAACCTGGAGAAGAAATCGAACTCATTTATGTCGACGAACCTACATACCAAAAACCACTCCGTATCGGATGTCACCTTCAAGAACCAGTTCGGCCTGAACTTATTACATTATTTAAAAGCAATCCTGATGTTTTTGCCTGGAAGCATGAAGATATGAAAGGAATTGACCCCAATGTCGCTTGTCATAAATTAAATCTTGATCGAACAATTAAACCTGTTGTCCAAAAACAAATAAAATTGGGACCAGACCGTCAACAAGCCTTAGAGGAAGAAGTCAATAAACTTATTGATAACAAGTTTATCAAAGAAGCCAAGTATCTAACATGGGTCTCTAACCCAGTCCTTGTCAAGAAAAGCAATGGTCTTTGGCGGTTATGCATGGACTTCCCCGACCTGAACAAAGCTTGTCTCAAGGACAGTTATCCACTTCCTCACATTGATTACATGGTTGATGCCACTTCGGGACATGAGTTGATGAGTTTTATGGATGCTTATTCAGGATATAATCAGATTCCCATGATCCCGAGGACGCAGAACATACGTCTTTTTATTCTGCTCGATGGTAATATTGTTACACCATGATGCCCTTTGGCCTGAAAAACGCAGGGGCCACTTATCAGCGACTTGTCAACAAAATGTTTGTGAATCTGATTGGTCACACTATGGAAGTTTATGTTGACGATATGCTCGTCAAGTCGGTCAGCTCCATCGACCATGTCCATCACTTACGAAAAATGTTCGATATTCTTCGTGATTATTCGATGGTGTTGAATCCGAAGAAATGTACCTTTGGAGTAGGATCAGGAAAATTCCTGGGATACATGGTTAGTCAGCGAGGCATTGAAGCCAACCCTGTAAAGATTAAAGCCATTCAGGAGTTGACCCCCCCGACGTCGGTCAAAGGTGTACAAGTTCTAACTGGGTGACTTGCCGCTCTAAACCGGTTTATCTCTAAATCCACTGACCGATGCAAACTCTTTTTCGAGGCTATCAAGAAAGGCAAATGCTTCGAATGGACCGAAGATTGCCAAAAAGTTCTTGTCAGTATCAAAGAGGTACTTACTCATCCACCCACTTTGCAAAAGCCAATTCCAGAAGAAATGTTATTTCTCTATTTGGGTGTTAGCACCTCGGCGATCAGTGTTGTGCTTATACGAGAAGAAGGAAACTCGCAATTTCCAGTGTACTATGTCAGCAAAGCTCTACATGACGCCGAGCTGCGTTATCCTCCTCTGGAAAAACATGCATTTGTTCTCATTGTTGTTGCTCGGAAACTACGACCATATTTTCAGGAGCATTCAATTACGATTCGAACATCATACCCATTGTGAAAAATTTTGCACCGGCCCGATACTTCGGGACGAATGGTCAAATGGGCCATGGAACTCGGTCAATTTGCCATACATTATCAACCGAGAACCGCTATCAAAGCGCAAGCTTTATCCGATTTTATTGCTGAATTTACCCCAACTGTCGAGGTTCAAAATGATGATCAACCATGGATCCTTTACATCGATGGTTCCTCTACAGCCAACCGAGCGGGCGGAGGAATTGTTTTAGCAGATCCTGAAAACAAATTGTTTTGCCACTCGGTCAAATTCCTCTTTCCTGCTACAAACAATGAAGCAGAATATGAAGCCATGTTGTCTGGACTAAGCCTGGCCGAGTCTATGAATGTCCGACATCTTAAGGTATTTTCCGATTCTCAACTGCTTGTCAATCAAATCAATGGAATATTTCAAGTTAAGGAACCTTGATTGATGCCTTATCTATCCCTCACCAAGAAGAAGCTATCGATGTTCTTTGTCCAAGTTGAACACATCCCACGAACTCTCAATGTTCAAGCAGATTCTCTTTCACGATTAGCCTCCAGTTTCGGTATGAAAAGTGTGGAATATGTTCAAGTCGGACAACAAGAACAGCCGTCAACCCAAATTCTGGAGATATTGGCAACCAAAGTGGCAACATTATCAAAATCTCCTACATGGATGTACCCGATTATTGAATACTTACAAACTGGGGCCCTGCCCTCAGATCCAAAAGAAGCTCGAACCCTCCGAATTCGAGCTGCTCGATTCACCATAGAGAATGGAATATTGTACAAGAGAGGATACTCGGTTCCACTCCTGAAATGCATAGCTGAACCTAAATCCAAATATATTTTGGAAGAAGTCCACGAGGGAATTTGTGGAACACACCCAGGCGCCCAAGCTTTAGCCTATAAAATATTACGAAAAGGCTATTATTGGCCGACTCTGAAGTCGGATGCTGTAACCTACGTAAGAAAATGTCCGAAGTGTCAAATCTTTTCACCCAACGTCAATCGATTTCCCGAGATGCTCAAGTCGGTTTACAGTCCTTGGCCTTTTGCTAAATGGGGGATCGATTAAATTGGACCATTACCAACCGGAAAAGGTGGAGTGAAATTTGCCATAGTTGCTGTTGATTACTTCACAAAATGGGCCGAAGCAGAACCATTGGCCACAATAACCGAGCAGAAGGTCGTTGATTTCATATGGAAGTCGTTAGTATGTCGGTTCGGGGTGCCGAATTCCATCATTACCGACAGTTTGAAAGAAAAAGACTTGAGTCCTTCTGCGAGGAATATGGGATAAAACATTTCTATTCCTCACCATATCACCCCCAGTCCAATGGTCAAGTCGAAGCTGTAAACAAAGTTATAAAAAATGGTCTCAAGGTGCGACTCGATGCAGCTAAAGGAGCACGGCCCGAAGAATTACCTCACGTTTTATGGGCTTATAGAACAACTGCTCGAACCTCTACAGGCGAAACTCCATTTTCTTTAACATACGGATCTGAAGTTGTTATTCCCGTAGAGCTCGGCGCACCAACATACCGAATTCAAAAATATACAGAGAAGACCAACTCAGAAAATATGAAAGCAAGCTTAGATCTGATTGACGAGCTTCGTACTCATGCTGAATTGAAAAATGCTTCCTACAAGCATAGAAGCGAAAAATATGTCAATTCAAAGCTTAAGCCGCGCACATTTCGAGTTGGAGACTTAGTCCTTAAAAGAGTTATGGGGCCAGACCCGGGGCCTTTAAAACCGAAATGGGAAGGACCATTCAAGGTTATTCAAGTACTCCCTCACGGTGCGTACCGAATTTCACACTCTGACGGAACTCCACATCAGTATCCCTGGAGTGCCGTCTTTCTCAAAAAGTTTTATCAATGATGTGTTGGAAGTTGTAAGAAATACCATCTGTTTGCTAAGTCTTCTCTGTCACCTTTTGATGATGTTACCTTTTGATGAGACAAGAACACTCTTTTGATGTAATATATTGTGATATCTCATCACTAAAAATCCGAGTAACGAAAAGAGAACACTCGGTACCGAGTACTAAACCTACACTCGGTTTAACTGACGCCTTATAAAACATCCAAATCCCACGATTGATTTGGTCAGGCTAAAGTTCGTCCTTTTGTCAAATCCGCAAAAAATGATCTGACAAGGTCCCACTGACAGCCGAACACACTTGGTTCGGTTGGGGTCGT